AAACAGTCCTTTTTGCGAATGCCAAGATTTCCTGCACACAAAGAAAGTTTGGGGGTCCAAGTCTTTTTCTTTTAGATAAATGGATGCATTTATCACAAGGGTCAGGAGGGAATGGATCTCATAATCTGAGTCTATTGGCCCTGGATCAAAGGGCTCCCCCTCCTCACTGCTAGAGCCACCGTCAGCAATATAAACTGCTAATGACTGTGAGAAAGGATGCCTCCCCCTCCCTTGTCTGGGCAGGGTTGATAGCTGCAGCTGGTCTTCAGACCGAGGTGCCAGTTTCAGGTGGGCAGGGAGACTCAGAGTGAGGAGAGACAGAGCAGGGTAGGGGGCCCGCAGCATCCGGTCACTCTTGCTTCTTCAACATCTTAAAAAGTATTCTCCAGGATGGGAGTAAAAGTGACTGAAGGTCCTGCTTTGCCATGGGGGAGTCATGCCTGCCCAGAAGGGCGAGCATGGTTTCATAGATGTCTCTCTCTCTTTGGACATTTCCTTTCCCATTTTTAGTTCTTTTTTTTAGTTCCCCTGGCTCAGTCGCAGCACACAGGTGATTGTGGGCCCAGACACGGTTCTCTTACCAGCACGATCTCTTGGATTTCTGTGGTTGAAATGGCTCCCAAGGTATTAGAAAGTCTCTTTTTTTCCCAGCCCGTGACCAAAGAAGTCAAGATTTGTCAGTTCTGCTTTTCAAGGTTATTTTCTCTTATCTGTTACATTCCTCTGACCTGCTGAGATCTGTCGAGCAGATCAGTTCGTGCCACACTGACCGCCCTTGGGGTGATGTAAGCTTTGTATACTAAGAACTACATGTACTTTATTTACAATAATTTTCCAATACCTATCACCTATGTTAGACAGTCTGTCTCTATTCTAAACAAATCAGTGTCACCATCACAGCAGAAGATGGAGGACAAGAAGAAGAAGAAGGACAAGACATGCCCAGATCCCTCCATCTTGCCTCCTGAATCCCCATTCTGAATCACCAAAATTCTACTTTTTCACACTGTGACAAATTAACTATCATTCTACTCGAACTCTTGTGGCTTGTAAATCTTCATACAAAGTTGGTAATTGTTTCCATGGGATAAAATTGAAGGCACAGGTGTTTTTGACTCCGTGCCAATATCTCTAAGCCCCCTGTCAGGGTCTCAAGCCATCCAGGGCAGCCAGAGGAACATCCTGGGTTCTGACAAAATCAGTTCAAGGGGCTCACCGACTGCTGCCATTGAGCCCAGTTCATTTCCTCACACAGAGGCACCAATTGTCAGCGATGGAGAGAGACAGGGAGACTGACTCGGTGATCAGAATCCGATTTCATTGTGGCATACAAACACTTATATACTATTTTAGGGAGACTAGCAATGTGTACTACAGTGATTAGGTTAAAATCACATACACTAATTTATGTGTGAAAAATGCATATTTTGTGATTGGCTTTTTGCAAATATTGAAATGAATATTATATGTGTTATGTTAGAAAGTTATGCTGTAATAATTTCTTTAAGTAGTGTATTAAATATAGTTTTAGGTTATAACATAATGTTAAAATAGAAACTATTATATGTAAGATACTTTTTTTAAGAGAGGACTCACACCAAGATAGCAGCCACAGGACACCTAAATCTTTCAGAGAAAAATAATTTATAGCTCTCTTATCAGAAGAAACAAACTTCTTCCTGCCTCGCTCAGTCCTGAAGACACCATTAGGATTAAGAGGAAGAAGTTGAAACTGACCAGAGAGAATCCTGTGTTTGAATGGAATTTATGCATCATGTATGAGGTGTATGAATATGCAGTAGGTTATTTCTTTTAAGGGTTAATCCTTTGTTAACAGGTGTCCTTTTTCAGGCTTATTTTGCCCAGAAAGAGGCACCTGGACTGTGTAACACTTTGTTTTTATTATCTTGTATTGTCCTAATCCCAATTGTTCAGATTTTTATTACTCTAATTATATTACTATTTTTTAACCATTTTATTACTATTAAACTTTTAAACTTCTAAAAACAAGTGATTGGTGTTTTTCACATATGAATATAACAGCATCACTTGCTTGCAGAGTTGAATGGGATTTTCTTTTTCCGGTAAAGCCATCTGATGGAATCCTACTGCAATCTAGGTCTAATTTACAAAGTTCCTTTTGCTTTTGCCAAGGCATCCTGTAATCAAATCTCTTATGTTAACTAGGTCTGAAAGCCATCTTCTGTCTTGTGTCTCCTAACATCCCAATAGGGAAGAGTGCAGGGTCACCTTTCCTAAAAGAAAACCGGTCCAAGGGAGATGGGATCAGCACCACCTGTACACCCAGGAGCTCTGTGCAGAAGTAGCAACACAGAACAGGGCCGTGGGGAAGGGGGCACATGTGCCAGTGAGTTCTTGGAAAACCTTGGGCAGAGGCCAGGCCATTCCATCCACATCCTGGCTCCTGCTGGGCCCCCTTGGAGTGCTAGGCTGGCCCTGGCTCCCTCTGGCAGAAGTAGCCACACATGTCCAGGTGCTCTTCTCCAGCCACATGTGGGCATTGGCCTCTGCTACTGCCCTGGGGCACCCACCACCAACCAAAGATACAAATATACAAAAAGAACAGCCAAAAATAAACTTCCACAGTTATCTTCAAACCATAAACACAACAATCTAAAGTGACAACATAAAGGAAAGCAAAAACCACCCAAATCCCCACACATGCAATTGGCAGTCATACATGGCACAGCCACTCACCCCCAGGCTTTCCTGAGCACAGAATGTTCCACCAGCACCCACAATGATGCCACAACCAAGACAGCAGCCAGGAACAAGCACCCAGACATGACAAGGATGGGTACACAAGGTGAACAAGCACTGACAGGGACTCAGAAACCCCCAGTGATGAGCATTTCAGGAAAGGGAGCACCTTATCCCTGGGAGACTGAGGGGCTGGGGCAGAGAGCATCCTGAGGAAGTCACTGCTTAGGGCTGGGGGGCAGCAGGGCTGCCCAGCACCTCACTGAGAACATCATGGGTGGGGAGCTGCTCCAGGAGGGAGTGACCCTGTGCCCCAGCAGGGACCCTGCCTCTTCCCAGAGCAGGGCCAGGTGTCCCCACCATGTCCCAGCATGGTGCCAGCACATGAGGGGCAGATGTGGCCATTCCCAGGCAAGACCATGAATGTGATAAGAGCAGGCAACGGGACTAAGGACCCCCTGTGCCCAGAGCGTGGGACAGTCCCCACGTGTCAGCAGCAGACAGGGACACTCCAAGGTCCCCAGCAGTACAGACACTATAAGAGGGGTGAGTGGCCCCACCACAGCACCTTTCCTCTGCACAACCATGCTGGGAGCAGTCTGTCTCGTTGTGCTGCTGGGCTACGGTAGGTGCAGGGCATGGGGAAGGGTCAGGGCAGGGGGAACAGGACCGTGGCGCCTGCCCTGGCCCTGAGCACGGGCACAGGCAGCCTCTGATGTCCCTTTGCCGGGTGTCACACAGCCTACGGATGCGGTCAGCCGGCCGTGCCGCCACAGCTGAGCTCCCGCGTGGTGGGCGGTGAAGACGCTGTAGCCCACAGCTGGCCATGGCAGGTGAGGGGCACAGGGACAGGGATGGGTACAGGGATGGGTACAGGGATGGGGACGTTCCTGCTCTGACCCTGTGCCTCTGCCCTCGCAGATCTCTCTGCAGTACAGCCGCTCTGGATCCTGGAGCCACACTTGTGGTGGGACCCTCATTGCCCCCCAGTGGGTGCTGACAGCTGCCCACTGCATCAGGTAGGTGGGTGTTAGGGTGCTGGGGGGCATCTGTGCCATGCAGGTAAGATATCTGTGGGGACTGACACTCCCTCTCTCCCTGGCAGCTCTTCAAAGACCTATCGTGTGGTGCTGGGCAAGCAGGACCTGTCAGAGGCTGACGAGCCTGGTTCTGTAGCCGTGGCTGTGGAGAAGACAATTGTCCACGAGAAATGGAACTCCATCCTTATCATGTAGGGATGGAATATATCCAGGAGTGGGTGGGGGGCAACAAAGCTGGGGACCGCTGTCTCATGGCTGATGTCCCCCTGTAGCAACGACATTGCCCTGGTCAAGCTGGCAGAGGAGGTGCAGGAGACTGACACCGTCCGTGCCGCCTGCCTGCCGGCTGCTGGCAAGATCCTGTCCAACAACTACCCCTGCTATGTCACCGGCTGGGGACGCGTCAGGAGTAAGTGGGATGTCCCCGGACGGTCCCCAGGGGTCCCTGGGCAGGGGGTGTGCAGAGTGTGAAGTGTGACTGTCCTTGCAGCCAACGGGCCCCTGGCTGATGCCCTGCAGCAGGCTCTGCTGCCCGTGGTGGACTATGAGACCTGCTCCAAGTGGGACTGGTGGGGCAGCCTTGTGCGTGACACCATGGTGTGCGCCGGCGGCGACGGCATCGTCTCTGGATGCAACGTGAGTGTGGGCACTGCTGGGTGGCACCTGCCCCCAGCCCAGAGCAGGATTGAGAGTGGTGCTGGAGCAGTGCAGGGCAACAGGTTCCATGAGAAGCACAGGAGGGGAAGGGATGGAACTGCAGTGGAGTGTTGGAATAAATCAGCCAAGACTCCATGTTCTTCATGCAGAAAGTGAATTCTTTATCCACAAAACTCATATTTATAGGAAATATCAGAAGGCACTGTGTTAAACCTAGTTGGTCAGCAATACAGTGAAATTCAGGTCACTGGCTGGTAAGCACTATTGAATAAGTCTACCAAATTTTCTCTCTCTAGATATGTTTCCATTTTCTCTTTGTGGGTTCTCATGGGACAAATCTTATTGTTTACAGAGGTGCATTTGTTTTTCACCCTCAGAATAGATTGTTGTGTTAAACGAACTTCTCATTCACAAAATAGCTTAGCTGCACTCAGAAGAAATGACAGGCCAGCTTTGGCAATTTTAGCACAGCAAGGTCTGACTTCACAAGGCCTTTCTTTTATAATTCTTCTACCTGTCTATGACAGTGGTGGGTCCTGTGTGGGATGTGGGGTGTGCCAACTGGGTGCCCATGACTGATGGCCCACACTGTCTGTCTGCACAGGGCGATTCTGGGGGCCCCCTGAACTGCCAGCGCGACGATGGGGTCTGGGAGGTCGAGGGCATTGTCAGCTTTGGCTCCGGCCTGAAATGCAACATGAAAAACAAGCCAACAGTCTTCACCAGGGTGTCCGCCTACATCGACTGGATCAACGAGGTGGGTGTCCCTTCCTCCTGCCCTCTGCAGGTTGGCCACACTACCCCTGCCCTGCCAGAGGTCTCACCATGAGCCTCCCCGTGTCTTTCTTTGGCAGAAAATGAGCGCGAACTGAGGACACAGCATGGAGCACAAGTACTGACTGTGATAAAAGCAATAGTGCTAAGCTGGTCTCGTGTGGTTCTTTCAAGGGGACACGATGGAGCAGAACCAGGGGGCTGCACCGTGTGGTCCTGGGCTTCTGCCTGTGTGCTGGGGAGAGCCCCCACGTTGTGCAGTGAGGCTGGGCAGGCTCCTGGGGAGCCTAAAGTGGGCAGAGATCCCCCACAAGTTACTCCCAGCCATGTAGATCCATGGCCATCACCAAGCCAGAGGGTTCAAACCTCGACTGGTGGTTTGATGGGAGAGCGGCTGGAATCTGGCCTGATGGTCCTGGGGGGGTCTCTAGCGAACTTGGGGAGGGGCTACAGGGCCCTGAGTTGGCCCAAGGAGTTTTTAGGTGTCTTGGCTGGTGCTGGGGTGTTTCAGGGGATCTTGCTGGTAACTTGATGGCAGCAGATTTATAATGGGGGTGTTGAGGTAACTGGGTTGGTCCTGGAGGTCATTCCCCAGCCCCACCACACTTCCTCCACCACCTGTGCTGCCAGAGTGCTCCACTCTGTTCTCATCTCTGCCAGGGATGTCCTGGGGAAGGAGCAGCCACTGCAGTCCATGTCATGGAAAGGAGAGGGACGAGGCTGAGCCATCTCTACCCAAAGTCACCCCCACCCCAGTCCCAATGCTTTCTTATTGAGGGAAGCAGGGAAATAAACAAGGGAAGAGTGGAGGGTCACCTTTCCTGAAGGAGAACAGGTCCAGGGGAGATGAGATCAGCCCTGGGATCACCTGCACACCCAGATGCTCTGTACAAAACTGGGTAACATGGGACAGGACAGCCCAGGGCCCCACTCCCCTGGGCGATGGAGAAGGGGAGCAGAGAAGAAGACAACCATGAGTTCTCACAAACACCTGAGCACGGGCAAGGCCACCACAGCCACACCCCAGCTCTAGCTGGACCCTCCTTGGGGTGCTCAGGGCAGCCCTGGCTTCCTCCTGCAGCACCCTCACAGCACCTGAAATGCTCCCACAGAAGTGTGGAAATACTCAGTGACTGCAAAAGCAGATTGTATATTCCCAGGTTCCCTGGGAATCCCCAAGCACTCCTCAGCACAGACCTACCCTAAGGCCTCTGCACCTCCCAAGGGTGGCGCCAAGGATGCTTTTCCCCCTCAAAATCCAACACAGATGCAGGATTTCTGACCTAAGGCCATCATGGTAGCAGCTCCTTAAGAACTTTACCTCAGCACTGGTATTTCAATGAATCCTCATCAGTTTCCTGTAGTAACTCCCAACTGACTCCTCAAAAGGATCAGGATGCTCCATAGGCTAGCACAGCCACATTGTAAATGACCAGACAGAGCAGCACAGACATGAGTGAAGGTTCCTACTCTTCCCACTTCAGAGGAGCCTTCAGGAGGTGCTGAAATGGCAATGAGGAGATGGAACAGACAAGGGAATACAGCTAAAGATTTGCTCTTTAATTGCATTTATTAGAAACACTGACTGCAAAACTCATCCCATTTCACTTGAACATCAGACCCTGGTCCCCTCAATCAGTTACCTGGACAGCACAGGACACAAATACCATGATCAGCAAAGAAAAATCCTCTGAGGCCGAGTGTGGCCGTGTCAGGGTGAGCCAGAAGTGCTCTCCTCTGGCTCTGTTCTCCAGCAAAGGGACTTCCTGCTCCATCCACATTTCCCATTGGAACAGCACAATCTCCCTCTCATCTCCACTGCATGGCAAAGCCAACGCTCGTGGATCACATTTCTCCAGACAAACATCTGGACACACAGACAAAATCCACAGGGAGCACTGACACCAAGTCGTGGTGGGCACAGATTTCATTCAGCCACAGGAAGAACCTCCAGTGCTTGGCAGGGGGCTCGGAGCCCATGTGTCAGCGGCACATGAAGAAGAATTTTTTACGGAGGAAATTGAAACATCCCGGGATCTGCTTGTACCTCCCCTTGGCAGAGACAGCGTGTGCCACCTGGGAACAGAAGAGAGGCTGAGGAATGGGATGTTCTCCCCATCCCTGGGAATCAATGGCTGCCATGCCAAGGTGGCCAAAGAAGCACCGCAACAACCAGAAAACAACAACAAGGTGATTCTGTAAGTCCTCTCTCCTCCCACACTGGACTTTTCTCCTACCCATGGAGAACAGAAAAAGTATCTGGGGCACCTACACTTGTACACAACTTTGGCAATATTGAGTCAACAAAGCAAACAAAGAAAGATGTTTATCAGCCAGACTTATTCCATAGCCCTGTGCATTGTGCTCCTCCAACCCCAGGACAAGCTTACAGGAGCACCCAAATCCCATCAGCTTGGATAGGACAAGCCATGACATTTTTAGCAATTTCTTCAGAAGGATTAAAGCCTGTATTGCCAAGATTACTTCTCACTGGAGAAGCCTCCAATGATTTTTGGCAGATTGAGGCTAGACACTTTCCTTGTAACTAAACCTCTCTGCAGTACCTCCAATGAGCCCATCCCTAAACTCAACATTCAATATCCTCACTGCTTTTTTGAGTGTAGGCCTCCATGCCTCAACTGATCACACCCCTGACTATTTCCTTCATCAGCAAAAAGCAGAACAAAGAAGACATTTACCCTCACTAACATGCTGAGCAGGTCTTCTGAATGGGCATACTGCTCCAGCACACTGTCCAGTGTTTCCACATACCACGAGCCACTTGACTTCTCCCTCCAGGAGACAAAACCTTCAGAGAAAGAAGGAGAATGTTATGCCAAAACCCATCTGCTGTTCTCATCCCAACAAGTTCCTAGCACTCCAACAGAGCTCGGTTATCCTGAACTGCCCCTATCTTTGGCCATGAAGCTTTGACTGTTTTGCGAATTCCCTCATGCTCAGAAAAGGATTTGCACAGGCTGTTTCACCTGGAAAAGTTGAGTAGGAAACCAAGATGTCACTAGGTGTGGGCAAACTGGCAATGGCATCAGGCTCATCCATGTTGTCTGATGAAACCAGAAAGGGGGTTGCGTCCGATTCCAAGGAACCCCCAGGAGCTTCCTCTTCAGGGGAATCACAATCCACTACAAAGCCTTGATCCCTTTGTTCTGAAAAAAGCAGCAACAAGACAGCTCCTGAGGTCCATTCCACCCAAGTGATTCACAGCTGTACATTCGACATTAAGAAAAGATGGGGAAAGAAAAGGAAAAAGGCCCTAGAACAAAGTAAGGCTTTTTGGCCATTCAGCAGCATTGGTTGAGTCAAAGTCATTGGTAGTTAATATAAAATTCCTCACTGTGTGTGAAGAGCTGGAGTGGCCTCTCAACAAATAAAAGAAGAGGCAGCTGGTGTGAGAAGACAGTTGGAGAGAGGGGCAATCAATGAACAGAAAGGGAGCCAAAGCCACAGCCTGACCACACCTCTGCAGCCCAACGCTACCAGAGCCAACACAAAGATTCACCTCCACCACAGGCTTGGATGAAGAACAGTTTGGGTTTTCCTCTCAAACTCGGGCAATTGGACCCATTGAAATAGTTCACAATCTTTTCTATGGGAATGGGTTTTCCATCCGTTCCATAAACGCCTCCAGGAAACTGAATATGGCTCGTCTGCAAGAGGAAAATGCAGGAACTAGTGACAGGGAAGGCAAGGCCAGTTCCAAGGGGGCCCATTTCCCATCAGGTGCTTCATGGCATAAAGGTACCAGAACAAATCCTGGTGTTTGTGGGAATCCCTGTGGCCAAGTCAGGGTGAGGGGACATCCAGGGACATTTGAAATGCACTAAAACCGAGCAATCCAACTTCTGTTATCCAACTCATATCCCACATCCTCCAGCAAAAGAGTTCTTCATCCTTTGGTACAATGGGCACATACCATACACCATTTTCCCAAGAATGCTTCTCCTCATCCTCTAGGAACTGACTTGGAATAAAGAGGCTTTATTGCTAATAGCATCTCCCAGTCAGAGCTGGAGAATGGGAAGGACTGAATCACCACAACATGAGGCTGACTGGGACCTCCATGGATTTCCAAATTTTTAGCCCCAACTTCCAAAATAGAAAAGACTTGTCCACTGGCACCATTGGATCAGACCACATCAGAAAAGCTCCTGTTTTCTTTAACGCAGAATAAGGGTGTAACTCTTTGAAATGCACTGCAATGGCAGAACAAAGTTTTGACAGACCACTTCCCTCTCACCCTGTGTGAGACCACAGGAGAGGGAATTAACCCTTTCCCACAGCAAAGGAACAAAGGGAGAGATGGGACAAACCCACCTGACAGCCATGGGAAAGGATCACCACAATGCAGCAGGCCAAAGCACTGTGGTCCTGCTGAGACAGCTTCAGCAGCTCCAACACCATTTCCTGTGTAGAAAACATCACAAAGAGAGTCTTTTGAATCATATGTCAGCCACAGGTTACTGCCAGGCCCTGTTCTAACTGCACTGCCATGGATCCTGTCAACCTCGGCCACAGGATAACATGAGCCCTGATTACAGCTGGCAAAAGCCATTGGCAGAGAGTGAGAGTTTCTGCATCTCTGCCCTTATTTAACACTGGCTGCTTTAATCACACAAATTTCTCACCTCTCTATACTCTTTACAACACAGCATCACAAACCCAAGCACATTTCCACATGATCTGAGGAAATCCACTGTTTCTGACTGGGAGCTGGTGGGTGAGCAAAGAATCATATTTACTTTCAGATGATCAAGTTCCCTCCAACACTTCCAGTAACAGCCAAGGATGGCACAGACAGACATGACACAACTGTTCAAGCTATCCCAAAAACACAACCTCACCAAATCCCTACAAATCCCAATGAGGATTCAACATTCATGCAGAAGGATGAAAATGGGCAAGGTCCTCTCCACTTCGGCAATTGCAGAGCAACAATAAAGTAAGATACAAGTGGTTCATTGTTTCTTTGTGGGAGGTTTTTGGTGCGCTGCCAACACAAGACACATCCCCTAAAGCATTCCCATTGCTTCCAGGGGCTGACCTCTCATCCCTCATGTCAGCAGGACACACCCAGGCTCACCTGAGCTTTCAGATCCCGCCGGGTCAGGACGGTGAAGCGCAAGGCCCTGAAGCGCCTCTCCAGCTTCTCACAGTCAATGTCAGAGCCCTCTCGGGTGGACAGACCCGAGTCTCTGGTGAAATTGACGTTATTGAGGATCAGGCAGTGTCCACAGGGATCCGCTTTCATCTCATAATCCTGGCAGGGACAAGTCACAATTAAACTCCTTCTTATTCCAAGTGCTTGCTGGCTAATCCAGCACGATACAATGCCAGTGAGGAATGGGAGTCCTTAAAGTGGCTCATTTCACAGCTTTTTAATTACTCTAGTCCTAGGGATGGGTAGAAGCACCCTTTCTCCACACACATCTCCTCATCAGCAGCTGGAAACAAGAACAACCCACTAAACTGGGGAAAGCCTTTGTGGAAAACCAGCTGCTGCTTTATCTGTAGCATGTCCAACAGCATGTTGAAATTTCTGGGAAATATTTTTAGGCATCATCATCAAACCTTACCAAAAGGAGCCAAGAATTTGTGTTATCAGTGTGGTAATCATGAGGAGGATCTGGCTAATGA